AACTGGACTAATATAAACATGCTATCAAAAAACCAAAATCCTAATATTGTACTTTAGACTGATGTTCAAACCACTTCACTCAAGTAAGTACAGCTTATTGCTAGCCACAATATTTCAGCGCATTTTTGCCAAATACAGTCTTTTGATCAGTATCCAAGCAAAATTTTCAACAATCCACTTTTAGGATTTCCAAACAATAATAAGCACTATTTGCATCAAGGATTGTGCCATCATAATCAGAATTGGGAAAGGCTAATGCAATTTATTTTCATCCCACCTATTTGAAATAACTGTACAGTATGTATAATATTCCTTTTAGAAGACTACTCCATGCATTTGTGATACACAAAATGTGTAAATATTTAAGGTTAAAACATTTTGTGCTTTTTACACTTCCAGAAATAAAAACAAAACTGATGCAACAGACACGTTGGATCAAGAAACTTAGCATTTCTCAACTATTTTAGCTTTTCTCAGCCTGCCAGAATTTTTCAAAATGTGGTCCTGTGGGAAAACCCTGCCCTGAAAAAAAAAAGATTTAAAAACTGGACAAAGTCTATTTGTTTAGAACAATTTTTATGCTATTCTTCACAGATTATTTGTTTTGGTTACCTTGTTCCTCTACTTATCTTTGGAGTACGCTAATTTATGACTATTTTATTAATGGAGACTAGGGTTATCTTCCTCCTATTGATGAAATCGTGGTCAATTAAGCCAATTACTGATCAAGGGACTCTGATAATGTTAAAATTATAACCTCAGCTAATTACCTTCCCCTTTGTGCCTTATAATGGCTATACTCTTTGCACCTGGATCTCTGGAGTTTATGTTTTGCTTGGGCAATAACCAGCAGCAAAAAAGTATGTATTGTGCTACTATGTGAGACACACTGAAATAACCATGTTCCTATTTCTGACTCTGCAACATTGGAAGTATTGAATTGCATCCTTTGCAACCAACCCAATAGACATTTCTTCCTTAGAGGACTGGTGGCTGCTTTATTTTAACCTAACCATTATCCCAGTTTGATGCCATGTTAAACATTATAATAGATGCTTAACTAAGCACAAACTATGTATTAAACTATAGTTCAACAAATCATTTCACACTGCAAAGTTTTCCTAATGGAAGCATTAAAAAAGAATGCTTAGCTGAATAATGAAGTTAAAGAGCCTATGAATGAGAAAAAGTATATGACAGAATTAATGCTAAAAATTAAGTTGAAAGGTATTTTATTAAGTTGAAAGATATTTTATAGTATGTACAATGGAACAATATAATTGCAGATAATAGAGTCAAAAAGAGCTAGAGACAGTCAAGAGAGGCAGAAAATGTAAAATAATTTTGACAGAAATAAAAATGTTGGAAGTTGCTAAGAAGATATAAATAAGGAGTCTGTAGCAATCTGAAGGGAATTAAAAACTAAAGTCATCAAAGGATTCAGAATGAAACTGAAGTGGGAGTACTCTGGAAAGAGGATTTTAGAGACCTGTGTTGTAATAATAAAGATATATTAAAAAGTGGGATTGAAACAAATGCTGCATATTACTCTTCAAGAAAAAATAATGAAAAGGAAATAAATATAGCAAGAAGGTTGAAAAACAAAGTGGTTATGAAAATAGTTGCTACAACTAAAGAAAGGTTAAACTGTGAACACTGCATCTGTGCCTGACTGTTGGAAAAATACCAATATTATTAGACCATACAAAGGGAAGGTGGCAAAAGTAAATTGAAAACTGTTTAGTCTGTTGAATGAGCTTGAGAAAGTATTTGAAAGAATTCTGATTGAAAACGCACAACAGCTGACATGAGCAAAATTTGGGAAGCCAATGCAACTTTATGCCTGGCAGGGATATACAGACTTGATTTTTGTTCCTGAGCAGGTAACTGAAAAATAGATTGATTTGGGGGAAATCAATCATTGTTCAATGAATAGGCTTGAATTATGGAATATTTTGTATTAAGTAGGTGGGTTGTTGAATGCGGAAAAGTAATATATGGCAAAAGTAAAGCATATACTGTATGATAACAAATGGAATTCTCAGCAAACAATTCACTACTAAGAGAGTAGACATTGGCCTCTGGCTTTTTAAGTTAACTTATAAGGAATGTTTTGAGTGATATTAGAGGAGTGTTGGTTGGGATATGAATGTTTGTATATTTTATATGAATATTATGTTGTATTAAGAGCTGACAATCCAATAATCTGGAATAAACATTAATTTAAATGCAACAAGGAGTATGGTTCTTAAAATGTTAATTATCAAAATCCAAAGTTCTACTGTGAGGCAAATTATACATGAATAGCTAAAAATCAGAGCAAGTAGATGAAATCTGTATCGAAAAATATTTATTAAAGTTGCAAAAATGGATGAAGAAGCTAAGTGTTACCGTTTTTTCATTTTTTCTCTTTGTTATTCTTTTTCTTAACAAAACCTAGTTTGAAAGGGAAACAGCATAATGGGTATCTATATATAACTACTATAGAATAACAACAATATTTTTACTGCTCTTATAGTAGTAACTTCAAAATCAAATACCACTATTTTATGATCTAATGATGAAACTTTTTAACCATTATTTAACTCACATACATTTTTTCTGGAAAGTTGTGGACTTTTGTTTCAGCTCAACTCCATGAAAGGTTACTCAAAAATGTCACTTCTTTCACAAATACGTTATGTACAGTGTTTTCCATCTTCAAAATATATGATTTAGCTTATCATCATTGAAACCATAGTAAGTGCAAAAGACTCCGATTCCTGTGTCTAGGCTAACATGACGTTTAGTCATGTGTAAAATATTTTGAAATGGAATCATTCCAGGAGTGAAAGAAGCTTCCTCAAACATGTTTTCAGTTCAAATTTGAAGCATGTGTTACAGCCTTATAATTTGTCAGTACAACAGGCAATTGGATTTCACTGGCAGAAGGTTACAAATTAAGTATCTATTTACAGAAAAACTGTATTAATAATAAATTATCACCTTTCTCTTTTTTAGGAATTACAAAGTATGCATTCTTCCCCAAGAGTAATTTTAAAATGGAAAAATTAAAAGAAACTGATCTAATTTAATCTATTTATCCTGTATATTAAAAGCAGACTATCACACCTGCTTCTACTTTTCATGACTCCTTTAAGATCTGTGAACTTAATTCAGCAGCATATAGTTTGTGTGATTTTTACAACTGCTAAACAACTCAATGAAAATTTCATTATTAGATAGCATCATTTGGCTATCACTGGTAATAAATCACCAATGTATATAGGCTTTGAACTTGCACATTAGTGAATAACTAAATCTATAAATCACTACTGTCGAAATGTTTACTAGATATTGTATTATGACTATCACAAAATCCTTTAAGTATACAGTACAGATCTGGGACACTGGTCACTGCACTTCCAAAAATGAGTAGATGCAGGTGAAGAAGTAACTGTGCTCATTGAAGGAAAAACTTTAAAGGCACCATTCAACAAATCCATTAACCTTTAATCATAGTTTTTAAATGTGGTGTTGGCAGCACCTATTTAAAATTACCCTACTTCAGACACTAACAAGTCTTTCAGCTTTCTTACCCACTAATACCATGCTCTGAACCACCTCAGCTCATTTTAAAGCAGTTTCTAATTAGGATGCATAGGATTTTGTCCAATGCTGGATACCAGATTAGCTGGAATACAAATATAAAAAAGTACCTATATAAGAGTACAGCTATGAACAGAAACTCTCCCCTTCCCCCATTTCTAGCATCCTTCCAAACAATTCGTGGATGAGATCACAAAAGACTCATCTGTAGAGCTATCATATGTTTCCTTTGGAGGGCAACTATCTCTTCCATAATATACTGTGTATTTCAACCCTGCTAAGATTGTTTTCATTGATTTTAACAACTGGTAGACTTCGTTTTCCAGAAATCTGCTATAGCTATATACATTACATGAGCATTCATAACAAACGATTTGAAAAGATGCCTTTGACAAAAGATATTTTGTAATCGTTTCAAAGAACCCATACACATTTCCTTCCGGAATCTTTTATACGCGGAAAAAATATAAGAACAATGCAGGCGCAGATGTTATCCAGGAGCGCGGGGGGGAGGAGGGAAATCTCCCACAGGGATCTCTTTATAAGGTGTAAAGCTATGCATCATTTGAGGTAGGGCTGCTTACATTCAACCTACAAAGCGGGGCGAAAGCAGAATCTTTCCCCCCCCCCCCAACAAATCATGCACACGCCCTTCCATTTATGCGTTAAAAAGAGAAACCCGACAGCTCGCAAAACTAATCGGAGTCAAAACGAACAAAGAAGAAACGGCACAGTTGCAAAGGGGGAAAGGGGGGGAAAACGACGACCCAGAACAAAACGCCCAAGCAGCAAAGCAGCCGCCCCTTCCCTCCACCCATCTAGCCGCGTCTTTCCAGAGGGACTGCTGGAGCGTGGCGGGGGCTGAAGCCAGGAGCCCGAGACTCAGGGTGGGGAAGCCTCCACTCCACTCCAGAGAGCGCCCGGGGGAAGACTGGCTAACACGAAGGAGGGAGGAGAGGCAAAAGAGGAAGCGGAGGGTTGAGTAGCTCCATCTGTATCCAATCTGGACCATCCCCCCTCATAGTCATGCAGCAGCAGCAGCAGCCTCGATTGACTCCCAAAGGGACAGCCTTCCGCGGCCAGGAAATAGCAGAAGTCCGGGCAAGCCATCAAGGGGAGGGGGGGGGGGAACGAAGCAGGGGCAACAAGCGCCGGGAAAATGATAATCATGGCAGTAGTAATATTGCCACTACTAATAAGAGTACGCCAGGAGAACAGCGTTATGGTTGATTCGTATGAATTGGGAGCATCGATGACATGTGGATCCGCCCAAAGGATGGAAATCGCTCCCGAGGCAAGCAAAGGAAAGGACCGCGAAGAAACAGACGACGCCTCGAATGTGTTGCTCGCTCGCTGCCGGGCAAAAACACCCTTCCCCCGCCCCGGGCAAAGGATCCCGCAGCATCACTTACTCACTCCCCTTCAGGAAGCCTGAAGCGCCGGCTCACTGATCCACCATCTTCTCCCACAGCAAGGGCGCGCGGGGCGGAGGGGAAAAATCAAGGGCGATCGCTGACCCTCCGCCAACCTACGTTGTCCCGCTTGTAGCAACCGCTTTAACGTTATTCCTACCATAAAGCGGCTAACGGCGCGGAACACGGGGAAGCTACTGCGCAGGCGCCGTCCCAGGGAGCGCTATACAAGCAGAGCGGGGGGGGGGGAAGAGAAAGAATGGATTTGCCTCAGGACGAAGCCAATGCGCAGACGCGTACAGAACGTGAAGAAGCCGATTCATACTGCGCAGGCGTCGTTTTCCAGCCCGAAGAAGGTGGAATTTGATGTTATTTATTCCCGTGTTTTCTGTCGATTGCACGAACTAGTTAAGGTTCCTAAAGGCTTAAGGATGTAATCTCTTTTTTTTTTTTGGCCGTTTTCCTTGCGGAATATGAAAAGGACAAAATACGATTTCTCTTACGAAAATGCTTTGTTCCTCTCATCTTTGTCCGGGATAAAGAATGAAAAGAACGCGCCCGCTTTAAAGCAAAACAAAATGACCATCTTGCCTTCACCCCACTCCCAAAGAATAAAATGGTGTGTTCTTTAGAATAAGCCCTGGCCCCTTCGCAGAGCCGACGAACCCACCGTAGTTACATTGTTCTTGCACAAAACAACAATTCCCAGAAAGCAGCGCGACAAAGACGTCCTCGACGTAGAAGAGCGGTTACGGCGAGTTGCATTTCGGGCGCGAGAGAAGGGAGCCTTCTGCCTCTTACGTTCGAGGCAGCGCGTGCCCCGCGGCGGACGTCACTTGATTATCTGCGGGCATAAGCGCTCTTCAAAGCGGGATTCGGCAAAGCGCCGTTTCTTGGTTGTCTAGCAACAAGGCGCAAGATTCAGCGGAACTTCCCGACGCGGTCCCTGGGGGTTGTAGTTGCTTGTTAGCCGCCGCGGCTGGTTTCGCACCCAGCGAGAGGACCGGCGTTGAACTACAGAGACCCGACAGCCCGCGAAGAAAGCCTAGCGGGGGTTACTCCCCGCGCGTCCCAATGGAGGGAGTCCCAGAAACGGCCGGTATAGCCGGAAGAGTTGCGGCGTGCAGCCCGGCGGGGTCCGCTTGGGGCGAGTGTCCGGGTTCGCCGAATCCCTCAGGAGAATCGGACTTGGCGCAGTCCCTGGAGCGGTATCACCGAGGCTTACGCGGTGAGGACGAAGAGAAGACGCGCGGGCAGTTTCGACGGCTGTTTGAATTTGGGCCCTTCGACCTTATTAGCTTTGTACTGGCTTTTCCGGAGCCGCTTCTTAGCCTAGGACTCAGGGGTAGGCAACCTTGGCTCTTTTATGACTCGTGGACTTCAACTCCCAGAATTCCTGAGCCAGCTGTGCTGGCTCAGGAATTCTGGGAGTTGAAGTCCACGAGTCATAAAAGAGCCAAGGTTGCCTACCCCTGGCCTAGGTCGTGGGGAGAGAGCGTAGGCCAGTGGTTCTCAACCTTTTTAATGCCGTGACCCCAACCGGTCATAAGTCGAGGACTAAACCGGTCGTAAGTCGAGGACTACCCAACCGGTCGTAAGTCAAGGACTTTCCCTGCCCGGGAGCGTCGCGCATGCGTGGTTCTGCCCCCTGCGCCGGCCGAGGCGTAGCTGGCAAGCGGCAGAGACGGAGCAGGCCGACCACCAGCTGGCCCAGCCCAAGGGAGGTAAGGCACCTGCCGGAAAAGGGGAAAAAAATGGCGGACAAAAAAAATGGCAGACAGCCTTGCTTGGTGACCCCCGTGAAATGGTCGATCGACCCCAAATGGGGTCCCGACCCACAGGTTGAGAACCACTGGCGTAGGCTTTATTGGAAAATAGAGTGTTTTCGGAGACGACGGCTTCAAAAGCAGGAGGAAGTCTTCCCTATTCTTGATCCCATCCTTTGATTTGCCCGACTGGGTGAAGTGTGAAACTCTTGGCAGATGGATGTGCTCAATGACAGGCGCTCTGAAATGAATTTGAATTTTTTTGGGGGGGGGATCATCCTTAGCCTAATTTGAAAACCGCACTGGTCAGCCTGATAAAAGGATCTGTTCAGGAGAAGGGCAAGAACAACATGGCTTGCTGGTTCTGCTGAATGATTTGACATAGTTTTGTATTAGTTGTCTTAGATAGGATGACTGACTAGTTTCATTAATTCGTTGAATTTTGCCACGGTTGACCCAGTAGGTCAAAATAGCAGGAATTGCATGTAATGCGAAGCTCAATTGCTTCCAACCAGCAGCCGATAACTAAGCAGGCCATGTTAATGGTTTAATGTGATGTGTGAACTTAAGTCACTAATTTGGAGGGCAGTGTTTTGGTAGGTCCTTTAATAGTTTTGGTCAACTTGGAGACTTTCAGAAAGCAATAGCTAGCTTCAAGGTGTGACATCTGTATAAAAAGGCTAAATTGTTTTTTCCACAATTAAGTTAGTAGCTTTATTTTTTTCATCAGATGTAAATTAAATCAGTGGAAATATTGAGGGTAGTAATTGAAGAGATTAGGACAAGTGTATTAAAGCTCAAATCAGATAAAAGTAGGTGGTATGATTAACTAGGGGCTAATGTGTTAGATTCAGCTCTTGATAACTATACAGATATACGCTTACATCTTGATAGAGTATGTCTTTAACAAACTGTAGCCCTACCAAAGACATTTGAATAATCTCTTGATCCATCCATCTTATCCCTTGTTTGCGCTTAACTATGACAAGCATAATTATTTTTTCTACTCTTATTCACATCACCTGTCCAAAGTATGTAAATTTTGGCTTATCACTTCAGTTTAGCAATCAGCTTTTATATGATGGAGAATTTCTGTTCTTTTGGCATTTCTCCATATATAACTCGATATTTTGTAATCAACTGTAGATTCTAACAGATTGTATTTGTTGTTGAGGGCACTATTAGGTCTAGCATAGTTATTGGAAATTCAAATGGCATCTGGCATATACTGCTTCTTGTTTACACACATATACTTTATGTCAGGGGTATCAAACTGCCGGCCCAGGGGCTGGTTGCATCATGCGGAGGCCATGCCGGCAATGCAAAAAAAGTCGTGACACGTCACAATACATCACGTGACGCGGCGAGTTTGACACCCATGCTTTATGTTGTACAACATACAGAACTTATCCATAGTTATGTCTTGGATAAATATTAAACCTGTTTTAATGAAAACCTAATAAGTGTGGCACTGCTCTAATATGTAGATATTCATACGATTCAGAGTTGTAGCTTGACTTAAAATTACAACTAAAATATCCCTTCCTATAGATAGTGAGGGATATTCCTATATCTTTGACCTTGTAACATTTTTTCATAAGATTTTTAAGAGCTTAATCCCTTTCCAAACAGGAAAGCATTATGTGTTCAGTTTACACAAATAATACTTCGTTAAGGATCTTATATGGACACCCATCTCACAAAATCGACTCTGAGTAGTATACAAAAATAAATAAAAACAACAAATATATAAAAACAATAATTACAAACTATATAATTAAAACAGACAACAGTGCAACTGATGCAGAGTCTGAAGCTGTGCAGAGACCCTCCTAGTCACATCTGCTATCTTCTCCTTAAAAAGAAATTGTGAGCATAGGAGGACCATGAAGACTGAGCAGTGCCACCCCGTCCACCAAAAAGGGATACTGGATGAAAATCGTCCAGTATAGTAGTGTCCAGCAATGGTTTCTTGAGGAAGTCCTCTTTAAAAGGTAAAGGAACAACCCCATTATTCAAAGAAGAATTAACCACTGCTTGAACATACTAACACGATAACCCAGTGGTGGCGAACCTATGGCACGGGTGCCAGAGGCGGCACTCAGAGCCCTCTCTGTGGGCACGCGTGCCGTCGCCCCAGTCCTGGGCCTTCAGCTGGGTTTTATAAAACGTTTTTGCTTTAGGCCTCCACCACCGTGGGTGCAAAAAAAAAAAAAAGGTTCAATCAATCAGTCAATTTCAACTTCTTGTGGGAAAAAAAAGATCTTGCAAAGTTGGAATTGATTGATTGAACTTTTTAGTCCCACCCAGTCTGCCATTACCACCGCAGCCACGCCCACCCAATGGGCCAGGCCCAGCCATTGGGCCACACCCACCCGGCACCCGACAATGCATAAGTGGGTTTTGGGTTGCAGTTTGGGCACTCGGTCTCTAAAAGGTTTGCCATCACTGCGATAACCCCTCCCCTCCAATGGTTTCACAAGCCAGAAGACGTATGGATCTAAAGAGCAGATGGTTGAACTCACTGTCCTAAGGACCTGTCCACTTCCTCAAGGTTCAAACCATTCCCAAATACCTGGGCAAGACTCCACCCTGGTTCTCTCCTTGAGACTTGCAACCAAGGCAGTGTCTTAACTGCAAGTGAATCCAAGTGATTTTGTCTGACAGATGCTGAGCAAATTCCTCCACATATCTTTGCAAAAGATTGCCAGGGCCCTCTTTCCTAAGAGGACTCATCACCTGAAACAGAGTTGTGAGGTGCTAATGAGTGAAATGCAATAAGGGTGAATAAATACTGCTTCTTTACTGTTTTGCTGCCCTTACCACCGCAAGTAGTCTCTTAATTTAGTGTTTTTATTGAATTTATCCTCAATTAAGCACCAATAATGTTCTAGATATCTCTCCTTTTGTTTCATCTCCCTCAGTTCCTTTAAATCATGGGGAATAGTAGGATCCCAGAGAGGGGAGAGTTCACGTGAGTACTATTTGATGCAACATCTCAGCTGCCCATTGTACCAAGTGACAACCAAAACTTTGAATGAACTGTGCATCAAAACAACAGAAAGAACCTCCAGCTCCTTCTGAAATGTATCAGGGTCCATCATTTGCCAGAGGCAGACCATCTAATGCAGGGGTGTCAAACTGCCTGTCCACAGGCCAGATGCGTCACGCCAAAACCGCGCCCACCCCTTTGCCGGCAATGGGAAAAAAGTCGCAATACATTGCATCATGTGACGTCGCGAGTTTGACGCCCCTGATCTAATGGGTCCAGTCTTCCAGAAGTGGAAAATGGCACTACAGAATCCCATAGAAACCAGGGTATGATAAGCGAGGCACCAAGAGCTCTCTCAATTTCAGATGACAGTAGGAACACCAAGTCTGCAGTGTAATCTCTGTCTCATGTCAGACTAAGATAGAGCCATGGGTGTCAGGGTGGCCATGAACTCCCAAGCCATCTCAGAACCCATTCCTAGAAAGGGCAAATTGAAGTCCTGAAGAACCGTAAGTCTGGTGGACTCTCCTACCAGCACAGAAATGGAGTCAAGAAACTCTGATAGGGAGGTTGCTATGCAAGAGGAAGTTGATTTAACAGCAACAGTCCCAGCTAAACCCTAGAGCCCAACTTAATAAACAGGGTCTCACATCTGGTGACCTGTAATATAACACCACTGAAAGCCATAAGGGATTCCCAGATGACAATTACCACAACCTCATCTTTGTCCAAAATCTGGGCTGGTTTCACACCTGAAGCCCCATTAGGCATATCTCTGAAAAAGTACCCCCAATTCCAGATCCAGTCAGGTTTTGGTAAAAATGCCAGGTTGGTCCACTCATCAATGATTAAATCACTGATAAGGGAGGCCTTATTGCAGATTGACCTGGCATTCAATAGGTGCAACTTTATACATTCTCTTCTACTGTATATCGTTATAAGTCCTATTTTTCTTTTTTTAAGACCATAAAGTAATATATAAGCTAGATGAAAGTAGTCTTTACATTCCTCTATTCTTATACAAAGGTATTTATATTTTAAAAAATGAATGCTTAGAAATCAATTGTATTGACACCAGGGCTCTAATTCTCCTTTGTGAAATAAATAAAGTAACCTTCAGTTGCTCCAAGAATCAAGGGGTTGTGTCCTGTTGAGTCAGTGCCTTCAAGGACCACATATTTTCTAAATTTGTGTGTGCAAATTAGGCAAGTTGTCCAGTGAAGTCAAATGGATATTAATTCTTAACATTGATCTTACAATCTATAGTTAGTCCTCAACTTACGACCAGCTGCTTAGTGACTGAAGTTACGATGGATTCCCAAAAAGCTACTTATGCCCCAGTTCCAATGTTGCAACATCTGCTTCCCCTCCATGGTCACATGACTGCATTTTGGGCACTCGGCAACTGGTCTACATTTTATTGTGTCTGTGTTTTATATTGTTTTTTCTAGAAACCAACCTTTATTTCTGGTTTCCAGAAAAAACATCTCTTGTGAACAAAGAGTTAGCTTAATCATTTTGTTTGCTTAATGACCACCGTAAAAAATGGTTGTAAAATCGAGTATGGTCAAGTGATGACTACTTTACAACTTACGATCATGTTTGCCAGGCTCAATTATGATCGTAAATTAAAGACTACCTTAATTAAAATATTAGAGCTGAAAATAACCCTGATATTGGAAACAAACAATCCTCCCCACAAAGCCATATGCACACCTTAGAAAGTGTGATGCAAAATAAGGTTTTAGTAGTTTGAATATTAAATAACATAAATATATATAAATCCTATCATTTATTAAATACTTATTTACAACATGAAGGCATAAAAATGTGGGGAAAGGCTAGAAAAAGAGTTCATTAATTATTAGCTCATTCATCATCATGTCCTGTGCTAAGCACATTGGGCTACAAGCATACTCCACAAGTTTTGATCCACAGCTGCAATCTCTGGATTCTTCCATTTAAGGTTGATATTTTTCAGATCTTCCTGAAATGTTTGGGGCCATGTTTTCTTTGGCTTTCCTCTTTTTCTCTGACCATCTAGTGGCATCCAATTGATTTTACTGGACATTGCTCACCATGTGGAACGCATTTCCAGCCAAGTTCGTTTGTTCTGTCACTATCTCAGAGAGACTTCAGGAATTACTTCTTTGTAGAATTTCCTCATTTGTAACGTGGTCGTGATATGAGATCAAGGAATCCACAGGCAATATTGTTGGAAGACATTGATCTTAATGAATAATTGTTACAGATTTCTAGGTCTCACTGGCATAGATAGCTCTGATCTGCTCATTATATTATATATATTAGTGCCCTTGTTCTATTCTTTCTTTGCTCCTATGAATTATCAGGATTTCAGTTACTGTTGTCAATATTATGTGCCAAATAGGTCCGAGCAGTACTTCAGAGGGAAAAGTTTGCTACTGGAGCATCCAGGGGAATACTTACTATAAAAAAGTATATAATGATTTGTAGCTCTCTTTTCTCTGTAACAGATGAAGAGTACTTGAATTAAATACATTTTGGTCAGGTGGGGGATTGAACTAATATTTTGTTCTGTTCTGTTCACTTCAATGATTGGTACTTTGCTTTAGTGCACATATATTTGAAATGCACTTTCCACTCATGTAGATCTACCTCAATAATATGGGGTCTCTCGCTCGCGCTCTCCCTCCCTCTCTCTCTCTCCCTCCCTCCCTCTCTCTCCCTCTCTCCCTCTCTCTTTCCCCCTCCCTCCCTCCCTCCCTCCCTCTCTCTCAAGATTCTTCTAGGTTTGTATCTGCTACATTGGGGAATTTTTAAATTACAGAAGCATCAGTTCTGCTAGCAGGGAAGGCTGGGCCTCCCAATTATTCTTTCTCAAGTTTGTCTTTTTCTATTGATTAAGAGTTTAATGTGCCTTATACTATTTAGAAATTAATAATCTGGCAATGATAATGGCTGGGCTCAAATACGATGCTAAGCCATAATGTGTTATCTTTGGTGATGGCTTCGTTTTGCAAATGCAATGCTTGTGGTTTGTAATTTCTAATTTATGCTTCAATATGTTCAGTTGAAATATACAGGTAGTCCTCGACTTACAACGACGTTTGAGCCCCAAATTTCTGTTAAGTGAGACATTTGTTAAGTGTGTTTCGCTCCATTTTACAACCTTCCTTGCCACAGTTGTTAAATGAATCAATACAGTTGATAAATTAGTAACCCGGTTGTTAAGTGAATCTGGCTTTCCCATTGAGATTGCTTATCAGAAGGTCATAAAAGGTGATCACATGACCTTGGGACACAGCAACAGTCATAAACATGAACCCGTTGCCAAGCATCTGAATTTTGATCACACAATCATGGGAACGCTGCAAAAGTCGTAACTGTGAAAAACGGTCCTAAGTCAGTTTTTTCAGTGCAGTTGTAACTTTGAAGGTCACTAAATGAATTGTTGTAAGTCGAGGACTCTTGTATTCAGTGAACCTTAGTTTATAAAGGAGAATATTTGTAGCTTAAGGGGTTGATATTTGTAGCTCAGGGTCCTTGGTGCTCTGTGAGCTTGCTTGTTTTCTTCCAGACGTTTCATTACCCAAACTAGATTAACATCATGAGTGCTATTAAACAATACTCCAGTCAAGAAACTGCCAAAGAAGCAAATAGTAAACAGCCCAATCAAGGAATCTCTAAGACGACCACCAACAGGCAAGCCACTAGTATATAAACTGACAGCAAACAGCACTCCTTACCAGCACTGATTATGTTACTTAGTTTGGGTAATGAAATGCCTGCAAGAAAACAAGCAAATGAGTTGCTTGTTTTAGTTAAGCAAACTAAATTATTTCTTTTAATTTCTCCTTATCAGTTCCTATAGATATAAAACTGTTGATAATAAATCTTATCTGTATTTCTTACCAAGTTGCAAAGAACCTTTTAATCACAATGAACTTTCAAAATTATTATTTTTAGATCGTGCTAGTAAAAGCCTTGATCAATTGAAGTATGTCTTCCGTGAAAAAGATTCTGCCACAGGCGAAAGTGCAGCTACATTGGATCGGTTATTTCCTAATTCAGGCCATGAAGTGAGTGAAAATAAAGCTTGGCAGGAGCTACAGTACAGCCATGCAGGTTTGAAATTTTCCATTTGATTTTTTTTTTCAAACTAGAGTTATCTTACGTAAAATATGTTTTACTATTGTGTTATAGTTAATCAGCTTAAAGCATTATTACGTCAACAAGAAGAAAGGGGGAGTGAAATATCACCCTCAAAGAAGAGAGGAATGTCACCCACAGTAAGTATTACCCTCTTTTTATCTCTTGTTACATGACCAAATAATTACATGTCTATTTACAGAACAATATCTAAGTAGTATTTATGTTGTCTCATTTGATGAGTTATGTAGTTACTTAACGAGGCATTCGTAGGCTAGCCTGTATATAAGCTTTTGTATTTATTTTAACTTACCTATTGTTAGTTCAGCATTATACATCTAGTGAATTGTGCACGATATGACAAGGCAAAGCATAAGGATGAAATTGAAGAGAAAGGTTCTGAATGTATTTGCTTGTGCAGCATATGTCTACATAATATGGTCTAGGTTACTTGAGGAACCATCTCACCCCATGGGATAGGCTTGTCCTACTCATGCCAGCACAGGAGGCATGCTGCAGATCCCATCAGTCAAGGAATTCCAGCTGGCGGGGTCCAGGAGAAGAGCTTCCTGTGCCGTAGTCCCAGGCCTTTGGAACATCTTGCCCCTGGGGTGAGATTGGCTCCCACTATTCTGACCTTGAAGACCTAGCTCTGCCAGCTAGCCAGGAGTCCCAAGGGGAGGAGTACCATGCTGAAGGTGGTTGATAGACTAATAGTAGATCCCATCTGCCCCCCTGCTCATTTTGCTCCCTTCCCTCCCATCTTTTAATTATAATTTGGTATTCTTTATTGTTATACTTTTTACCACCCTTAATCTTGTAAACTGCCCAGAGTCATCTTGTGGCAAGATGAGTGGCAAAATAAAAAAATGAAATGAAATGAAATAATAATAAATAAAATAATAAAATAAAATAATAAAACAAAAATTGTCAGGCTAGTTTAATATCACATATCTTCCTTTCATTGATCAGTGTGGATCTTTCTTCTGAGGAAAAATAGCTAGGTTTCTTCCCAGTTACATTTTTCTGTTTTTTGCAAACTTTGAAATTAGCACTATTTCACTGTTTTTTTAAAACATGTTTAGTATTCTGGATCCATATTATTCCTTTATATATCGGTTTTTTTACAAGTTTTATATTTATATTTATAGTGTATACATCCAAAATGCAAAGGACATGCTTTTTAAAAAAAAAAACTGGTAGGTCTTTTGCTTAAAATGAAGAAAGATCATAAACATGGCCTTTCAATCATGGTATCTTATTGGACCATTGGACACCCCATTGTGTAGTAGCTTTGCTTCTTCCTAAGTGGGTGATTTCAGTCTGTGATAGTAGAAGGTGAGGGATCATCCAGTACTCCTTTCTCTCCTGCTCTTTTAACGTCATATGAAATTGGTGGGGAGAAGTTAAAGTGTGGTATTATCTATACTCCAATGATAACTAACTTTAAGTCATCAGTTGTAGGGAGTATAGTATGCTATCAATATCCCTTTCTGGTGCCTGGAGGCTGGAGGTGGAACAGAGCAGGCTGAAGTTGAATCTAAGTAAGATGGAACCGCTGTTTGTACATTGGGGTTCTCTGTTGACACCAGTATAGTTGTCAAGATCGAAGTGGCCACGTGAGGTTGTCACCATTATTGCTACTCAGCTTGCCAACACACTAGGGAGGAGAGAGGGCAATGAAATGCAGGGTCCAGACAACAAAAAGTCAGCCCATGTGAACCAAGGACATTCTAGCAGGCATTTGCAAACCCACAAAGACACTTTCTCATAATAATTTGGGACTTGATTGGACCATGTGGCCTGCACTAATAGGTGGAGGGAGAGTTCTATATTTTAATTATAGTGATTTGCGCAGGAATTAACCAGAGCTTCATATGTGCTGAAGTGATGTACTCAATAAAGTTTTGCATTAAGAGATCGGATTGTCTCGATGGTGCATGCTTGGTTGGGTTCATTAGTTGGAACCCTGACAATAATCTCTTAATGGCTAAGGAATAACCTGTAAAGAAGTAGATTTGGTATTTTGCGCTTCTTCTTAATTACTGGAATGGCTTTTGTAGATCGAACTGCAGCGTATGATACTCTCCTACAGAATCAGAGATTTTTCATGATGCTTAATGGTTAAGAATAGTAGATGGATGTTACAGAAGAATGGACTGCCACAAGGAAATGTATTGTCTCCATGTATAATATATATACAAATGATCAACCAGTTCCTGACAACACCTGATTATTTATCTATGCAGATGAAACAGCAGTGGCCACACAAGGATCAAATTTTGATGAGGTAGCTGGAAGACTCACTGTAGCACTTGAAAAATTAGGACAAAAATTATACCGTCAATCATTTGAGGCCCAATATAAGACACAAGTGTGTGCTTTTCACCTTTGAAACTGAGATGCAAGGGTCAGATTGAATATTATATGGCAAGGGAATTGAATATAGTACTAAAATATCTCGGTGTGACACTTGATAGGACGTTTTCATTTAAACAACACTCCCTGAATACTAAGGCTAAAATCAGTGCAAGGAATAACATTATTGGGAAATTGACAAATTTTACATGGGGGCCCCATGTTAAGAATAGACTTATTTAAGATATATTTTTCTTAGTTTTAGAACAGCATCATCTCTTACTTTATCACTGTTTTTAATTTATTGTTTATGTATGTATTACTATACAGTAATACTATACTGTATACTATACTATTCATCAAATTTCTACATCACCTACCTCACCTAAGTGATTCTGGACAGTTTACAAATAAAAAAAAACATTACTGTTTTAATACTGAAATTTGTTCTTTTAGTTGGAAGAGTTTTAATTTAATTGTGTCATTTTAACTATACCATGGCTGTTTTAAAATGTTGCTGTATTATAATTGTGCAGGTATCTGAGGGTTGCTAGATTATGATGAGGCATAAGTATGATAAATAAATAAATAAATGTGCATCTTAGGAAGGCCATCTGAAAACATGAAGACCACCATAACTATGCCCTGATTCCTTTCTGATGGCAGTCTAGTGTTCCAGTTAAGAAAAATTATAAGCAGGTTAGGAATTGGGATGGATGTGTTCACAGAGGTCGAGACAAGATGGTCTTTAAATAGTTGGTCCCAGGAAAGCCCAGCTTGTTATCAACTCAAATAGTTCAGCCCATCAAAAAGAAGTAGTCCAAGAGTCCTTTGGTAAATACTTATTCCATCTTACATACATATCAATGCTTGTGCATTGTCTGTACATGCATATTACCTCAGTTAGGATTAAATATATGTCAGATAATAAACTAAAATAAGTCAATTTTTATCTATCATGCTTAATTGTAAAAGAAATACACGAACAGTGTTAGAACAGTGAGCGCTTAATTAAAATTTAAAAAAATTACAAAGCAGCAGTGTTTAAATTTTATTTGCTTTAGAGACTTTTTTTGAGTGAAAAATATGAATCTGCTAACAGACATTTGTAGCAGAAATTCAGGATTTGCTTTCTCAAGCTTTGTTTCATTCTTTTCCTCTATCCATCCACTCAGGAAGACCTTAGCCTATTCTGAAATGGCCTCCTATCTTTCTGAGCACTTAGCATTCCATTACTGAAGGGAATCCATTTGATAGATTTCTTGCTGTAAATTATTCTACTTTAAAATACTATTCTAATATGAAACGGTTTGGAAAGAATCTTATCTGAAACATATAATTCTGACTGTTGTCTTTTTAAATTTCTTCTAGAAAACATCCAAAGCTACTGATCACCGTTTGCCTGCCCTTTCGGAACTTGTTCCCATCATTAACGATCAGTCTCAATATATTAATCATTTAGAGGCTGAAGTCAAGTTCTGCAAGGTATCGTACATAATACTTATGATCTGTTGTTTTGAGGCAGCTTTGTTCATTTACTATTAACATTTGAAATTTTAACCCCACAATTATGCATATTATATTATAAACAGAGACAATTTGTTTAGTAACAGAAAAGAAAGCATTTCATTTTATTTTTATTGGTGAAAAGTATATTTCAGCCGATAGCTTTAGATTAGATTAAGAATATATTGACAGCAGGATGCTAATTTCTATTCTCCGGTGTTTTCTAGTTATCCTTCCCTAACATAGCTCTGTATCTGTATCTGGGTAGCATGCCCCTTCCTATATGTATAATTTTGGCTCACATGTGCATAGTTTTCATATACATTTCTCACTGAACACAGGTAGTCATTGATTAACAATGTTAATTGGAACTGGGAACTCTGTTGCTAAGCAATACGGTTTTAAAGTATGATGGCATTGATCATGCTAATTTATGACAGTGTTTCCCTCAGTTCCAGTTGCAGTCATTAGGCATATCCCATATGGTTGTTAGATACACTATCACATGATCGCCATTTCTGACTTGCTGGTTTCCCAACTGACTGTTGTCTGTAGAGATTCTCAGTCATCCAGGTCATGGTTGTCCCAAAGGTCCTTTTTCATGAGGCAACTAGACTTTGTTTGTTTTTTTTGAAGACGTTTCGCTTCTCATCCAAGAAGCTTCTTCAGCGAGAAGTGAAATGTCTTCAAAGAAAAACAAGAAAGTCCAGTTGCCTCGTGAAAAAGCACCTTTGGGAGAACTGACTTCATTTGTCAGAAGCCAGTAGTGAAGATCGCAAATGACGATTACATGACTGCAGGACGCTGTAACTATCATAGTTGCAAGGTGGCTGCCAACTACTCGAATCATAATCATGTTACCTTGTGGACACTATGATGGATTTAAGGATTGTTTTTTTTCTCTTCTCATTCAGCACTGTCGAAACTTCAAATGCAACTGAACAAGTGTCAGTTGAGGCTTGCTTGAAGTTTGTTAAAATGGGTTGTTTTTCATTTTGTATGTAATAAAGCTTCCCTCTCTTTGTTTATTATATTTTAGAACTCTAATTACAGAAAAATCTACGCAGTTTGCTAAGCAAATGATAAAAACACAGTTCTTTGATTTTATGCAGGTTTAAAGAATAAGGAAAATTTATTTTTAAAACTCATGTTTTATTAATATTAGTAGTATTTTGGTGAAAAATGATGCTTTTATTAAAGAAAAGGTCTTTGGAGTATTCCAGTAGCATATTAACTCAAGCATGCTAAAACTTGCCAGAAATCCCTTTTTATTATTTTATATGTCACTAATTTTCAGCTATGCTTCCATTGATATAAGATTTTATGCAAAATTAAATGTTAACTATACTTCTGTCATTATGTTTGTGAAGAGCATTGTTTCTATGTTTAAATAATAACATATTTATAATATGCATACTCAACTTTCTAGGAAGAAATATCTGAACTGAAAGCACGTATACATGTTGTTGTACTTGAAAATGAGAAGCTACAAAATGATCTAAAAATGGAAACAGAGCGGACTTTGAGAGAACAAACTGTCATCAATGCCTCAGTAAGTTCTATGGAATTTAAAATGTCAAATTTAAATGAAAATGTAGTCTTAAAAGTTTATTTAATAAGAAATCAATCTGTAGGAAATTTAATAATTCATCAAAATATGTCACATACCTGTAGCTTACGTTACCAGATACAGTATATAAACAGAGAAATAGATCTGTATTGCACTTAGTGTTCATAAGGATAGAGTTAATTTAGTTTTTTGTCTTTTTATAAAATAATAAGAACTCAAAGCAACCTCAGAAATCATCTAATCCAAACCCCTGCTTTGGGCAGGATCTGTTAAAACATTTTGGGTAAAGAGCTATCTAATTTTTATTTGAAGGAGAGGTCAGAATCTAACATAAAGATAGCCAAACTAAAAGACAGAAGGACATTAACCACGTCCTCAGACATAACAGAATCAAGCTTAGTCTAGATACCAGTAACATCACAACTGAGTTGGACTTGCCCAGTGCTTTTTTTCTAAAAAAAAAAAAAAAAAAGGTGCCGGAACTCACACACGTCATACAACCCACCTTGCCTACTCTACAAGGTTCCATCCCAAAAAGGTGCCAGGCGTTCTGGGTGTTCTATGAGAAAAAAAGCCCTGGACTTGCCCAATCAGAATCCAACTCAAAGTAAATCTGAGTGATGTTGTCTGTAAGATTGCATGAATATTTCTTATCATGGTCTTGCAGATGATCCTGAGGCCCAGCCTGTCCTGACTATGAAGCGGGTTACTCTAAATAGGGCTGCTGGGTGATATCAGAAAATGCAATGTGTGGAGAAATAGCAAAATTTTGCCACCTGTATTGTCATGACATAGGCCTGACAATGGCTCTTACTCAGTTGGATTTATTTTTTTGTCTTCCTCCATTGGCACTTCAGTCATTGATTCGGACAAAGCCTTCTGCCCTTAAGTTTTCTAAATGTGAAGGACATACAGATAGGTTTAGTTTATCACTAAATGTCTCATCTTGTAGAACAGGATACACTGAAAATAGAACTAAATAGAAATAAATTTAGTCTTCATAAATTAATAAATGCAGAGTTTTGTTTAATTATATATTTTAATGGCTTTATATAGTGACAATTAATGGTTGCTTCCACTCATTTTATCAGCAGAATTTCATTTGTGCAACATTCTTTTTCTGTCCTGATCTCTTTATTAAAACTAAAACTCTCCTGTAAGTCATAAAGCTCTTAGGAAAGATCTGGAAATGGTGCAGAGATGATGTTGTAATGGAAGGAATAACTTGTGGAAATAGTTCAATAATTTGCTGTATTAATACTATAACACATACAGTTATATCATTATCATTAGTTATTGAGCTTGTTATGAATAAATATAACAAGATCAGTAACAAATGTCATATAAATTTATAGGATATCTTCAATGTGTGTGCTGTGTATATGCATTTAAGGTGCACGTTCACTGTTGATATTTGTTTCAGACCCTTCTCTCAAAATCTGGTGGTATAAATGGTGATCATTCTCATATTTGTGGAGCTGCTAAAGCATCTTGTCATGTCACTGAGCAAGCCAAGGCACCTACATTAGAATTGGAAAAGTGGCAACAGGAACTGGTCAGTATTTTAAAAATGTTGATTATTTTAGCATTAATAATTTATCATTCTGGAAAAATGCTCTACTTTTATGTTTTAAATTTTAATTTTGCAGTTTCGCTGCATTTTATTTTATGTTGAACTTTTCTGTATTTTCTACAAAAATCATTTAAAACAATTAAATTTAAATAAAAACAAGATCACAAGGGAGGATGCATCAGAATATTACTCATGATGCAGTCAGTGCTCTGTATTCCTGCACATATTCCTGCTGCAGGATCATAATTTTCAACATTGTAAGAAAAAACAAAGTCTGGATAATTTAAAATAACCATTTACCAAATCATGTCCCACTGAAGTATGTCTTTAATTACATGTTTTGTCTTTGAATGTTAAAATTTAATTGTCTGTCTAAAAAAGGTTAAGAAAAAACTTGTGATTTAAATATTAGAAATTTATTAAAAAAATCATCTAAATCCCTAAGCAATTTGATTAGACATTTAAAGCTTAACTCAGTAGATCTGTATTTTACAGTTCTATGTGCTCTATAAGAGCCTTATTTCAGTTTCTGGCATTTCTAATCAATAATACTTAGACAGAAAATTTAACAGAAAATACCCAATAGTTAATAATGCTTTGTTAAACAAGTTAGTCGATGCTGAGAATGATCGAAACCTTTGGAAAACACTTACTGCCCAATGTGCTTTGCACAGGACCTAATAATGATGAAAATGAGTTAGTATATGACTACATAACTTTATTCTTAGGTGGGCATAGTGGGTGCTGTGTAATTTAAATTATTCCATTTTCAGCTAGTGCAGGTTTGGTATTCAAAGTCCTAATGGAGTCAGATAGCCTTTATAACTTTAATATGGTGGTAGTAGTAGTAGTAGTAGTAGTAGTAGTAGTAGTAGTAGTAGTAGTAGTAGTAGTAGTAGTAGTAGTAGTAGTAGAGTTGGAAGGGACCTTTTAGGTCTTCTAGTCCAACCCCCTGCTCAGGCAGGAAACCCTATACCCTATATGGTAGAAGACAGACAGATTGCTAAAATTTTGCTGATGCCCTGGCAGTCCTGACTATGTCTTATATATAACCAAACAAATGATAGGTATTAATTTTATTTTAAAGGAGAAACTAAGATATCTTCATGAAGAAAAGACTGAAGTGTTTGAAGCTCAGATCCAATCTTTACGGTAAAAAAAAGTATATATATTATTAGGTTGATGCTTTATGCCTCTATCAAAGTGTTTCATTTTGCCTCATTATATATGTCCATAAGTCAGTAGAAATTAATCACATTATTTTTTGTGTGCTCTTAAAAAATTTGTGACATGTGCCTTATAATTTAATAATGAGTCTGTTTCTGTATGTAATTGGGTGTATGTTTGTTGCTTCCCTAGTAAGATTGCTAAGTTATTGCAAAACATCAATCAGTATCTAAAGCAGTCGTGGCGAACCTATGGCACGGGTGCCAGAGGCAGCACTTAAAGCCCTCTCTGTGGGCACGCGTGCCGTCGCCCCAGTCCTAGGCCTTCAGTTGGGTTTTATAAAACCTTTTCGCTTTAGGCCTCCGCCGCCATGTGCAAAAAAATAAAAAGGTTCAATCAGTCAATTTCAACTTCTCGCGGGAAAAAAAAGATCTTGCAAAATTGGAATTGATTGATTAAACTTTTTAGTTCCGTCCAGTCTGCGTTACCACTGTAGCTACGCCCACCCGGCACTCGATGATGCATAAGTGGGTTTTGGGTTGCAGTTTGGGCACTCAGTCTCTAAAAGGTTCGCCATCACTGATCTAAAGGGAAAAAATCCCTAACATTACAACCATACTGCCATTTTATACAGATAAAACTTTCAGAATGGAATAAAGTTTGTTTCAGTTCATGTCCTTCTAATGACTAAAATAGTATTTTTAAAAATACTTGTTATTTGTGAAAAATTGGGTCTTTCTATTTTGCAGCATGGTTATTTTATAATTGCACAGTAATTTCATTCATTCATTCATTCATTCATTCATTCATTCATTCATTCATTCAATTTCTGCCCAACTCATCCAAGTGATTCTGGATAGCTTACAATTCTAAAATTCTAAAACAAGTAAAACAATGTAAAAAAACATTACAACTGTAAAAACATCCACAAAACAAATAAAAATGACCCTTGGTGCTGTGGTGTTGACCTCTTTAAGGAATGGGGCAGTACTTCCTGAACCCCCTCCTAAGAAGCCATCCTTGGAACTAATAATTTTATTTAACTATCACCCTGTCTCTAACTTTCCCTTTTTAAAAAATGTTGTTGAAAAGGAGGCTGGTGTGCAGTTGATGAATGCCCTGGAGGAAGTGGATTAACTAGATCTGTTTCAGTTGGTTCCTGCCAAGATCTGAAGTGGGCAAATAAACATACAAACTGTTTAAGATACTATCATTCGATTCATTTCATTAAAAAAAAACACAAAATTTCTAAATCCTAAAACAAAGACCAACTTTTCTTATCATACTCTAGATACACATTATCCAGCTTTTTAATTTAAAAATATCTGTGTAATACTGGAATGATGCTTTTATTTGTCACTATTCATTTTGCGTCTCAGTTCTTCTTTCGCTATTCTTTCTTCCCTCTTTCCAAGCCTTCATTGACATATGGTAATCTTTACTCAGGAAATATTTTATGCATCTGATAATGTGGATAGTGATCCATGAAAGGTTTATGTGGTAATAAATTGGTTGTTCTCCAGCATGAGGGATGGATAATCCACTTGATTGGGTTTCCTGAAGTCCCTTGTACCCAATAAGACTAAGTCTGAGATAGCCACGCCTCCTGCCTGGCCGCACATGCCCAGTTCTGACTTAGTCTTACCCAGACAAGGCGTGTT